TCTGAAGCCAGGAATGGCCCTTAACTGGTAAATCCAAGAGAGATTTTTCTGCCCTGGCAGGGTGGCTCAGTTGGTTGGAGTGTCATCCTGTACACCAAGAGGTTATGAGTTTGATTCCTGGTTGGGGGGCAGCAACCGATTGCTGTCCCCCCACTCTCACTCTAAAAAAAAAAAATCAATAAAAACATATCCTTAGGTGAGAATTAAAAAAAAAAAAAAGAAACTTTTCTGTCCTTATTTGACTTGACGTCTCAGTGGATTTCAGTACTCTATTCTAGTCTTTATCCCAGAATCATATGCCAGAATATCAGAAAACTGGGTATGGTTGAGTCACGGGTTCTTATCCCCTAAAGACCTGCTTTCATCAAGTTTTGTTTTGGCATTACACCCTTGGCTTAAACTAAAGGATATGTGGGAGAAATTTCATTTGGAATCATGTACTTGGAAAAGCTTTCCTTTAAAGAATTTTTTCCTTTCATTGAGAGACCTATGTATAACAGGATCACGTACAATTTTTTTTTAAGGTGGCCACACATTGATCAATTTTTCCCCTCTCAAACTACGTAATAATAGTTTTCTATTCTAATTGGTATTTTCTATGTATTTCTTCAAATTCTTTTTCAAACAAGATGGGCTAATAAATGAAATTGTATAGAGTATACATAGATTCAATAAACAAAAAATACAGAAATATAGAAAGTTACAACATTCTTAACTATCAAAATAAAAATAACCCCAACTCAAAATGTGCAGACGTATCTAAAGATTACAAAACTCTTCTTAGGAGGCACAAAAGACCTCACTAACTAGAAACAGTACTATCCATATCCATGACCAGAAAGTCCAAACATCATAAAGATATTCTTTTTACATAAAGCAATTTTCAAAATCTGTCTGAAACAAACAAGATATTGAAGATAGCAATAAAATTTCTGAAAAATGAAGGCAATCTTCTATTTCCAAATGTTAATATATTACAGTCACAATAATTAATATACTGTAATACTGTGACGATCACAATTTAAACAGAAGAGAAAACCCAGAAACAACCTCTAAGCATATAAAAAGGTGTCATTTTAAATTACCATTTTACTCTGTTATTCCTGAAAATACATACACCATCATCTGAAGTCCAAGAAATTTAGAGGAATCCTTGTGTTGGGCAAAAATGCCACAGACATAAGTTATAATTTACCAGACTGGCTCTTTCCTCAATTAGAGTATGTTTTAAACTAGAAAGACTTCTCAAAGTTAGGGTATAATCACTGTTTATATAATCACTCTCCCTCCCCACTGCACAAAGAGCATTAAGATATCTGCTCTTTTCTTCAAAGGCCCTCACCCAGCTAAAACATTTTAGGTCTATTTCCTCCTTCCTTGTTGGGAAAGCTGGTGTAACATCTACCTCTTTTCAAAATAAAAAATAGGAGATTTAATTTCAGTGTGACAAATGCTTAGAGCTATAGCTATATACTCGATAGGATAACCTACTTAGCCATTAGCTAAGATGTACACTTACCTAGAAGTCACTAAATCAGCAAATATCTACTACTAAGAAGAGTCAAGAACAAGATCAAAAAAGTATTCTGAATAGATTAAACAGACATTTCAAACTCTATGCCCTCAAATTTACAATTAACTTGGCTCTCACTCAAAGTCAACTTACTCTTATGTTAGAAATAATTCAAACAACGGGGAATAGGAGGAGAAATAAAATATTAGAGGAAAAAGCTAACTTAGGAAATTAGTAGAGATTATAAGACTAAGGACTAAAGAACTATACATAAGCACTGTATTATAGTTAGTGAAGTTGTTTCCGATGGAGTTAAAGTTAACAATTCTGATACCACTATACATGTATTCTGGGACTGAGCAAATAGCAAATAGATAATGAATAGTGGTAAAAGACGAGCTAAAATAAAATTTAAATTAAAAAAAGAAGTATACCATGAGCCCTTCTTTTGTGATGTACCAAAGACAAAAGAGGAAACAAGGTGCAGCTCTTCCCATATGGTCACATTCTGCTATATAGTTTTTGCTTTTGTACTTGATCTACCCTCTCTGCATGCAGTATTCCCTATTTAATATATTGAATTAATTTGTACTCCCCCCCAAAACCAAAAGCTTGGCTCTTCCAATGAAAATCCAGGCTTTCAGTAATACTGCTTCAGCCAAAAGTTGATAGATTAATTCAGGTAGCAACGTATTTCTTGGTTCTCAGCTATAATTATCCTCCCCCAAACAAACAAAAATTATACAATACAGGTAAGAGGAGGAAACTCAGATAAGCAGAATATAAACCTATAGGTTTTATATAAACATTCTGGTTTATATCCATACACAAATACACACACACACACACACTTACTCTCAAATGAGAGAACACACTGTGCATACTATTTGATAATCTGCTTTATGTATGCATAATATAATGGTTGTATGACATCCTATTATACAGATATATCAATTTAGTCAGTCCCTTATGGCTGAATATTGATATTCCCAATTTTTGGTAATTCCGCTTTATCTACTTTAAAAAAATAGTGTGCATGGGGGGAGGGGCGTTATTTGCATTTATAAAATAACTGTTACACAAACTATAGAAAATGAAGAAAAGTCACCTCAAACCTAACCATCCTACCAATACTAGTTTTTTATTTTGTTTTGAGTAGTGTTTAAACGTCTATTTAGTTTTTTCCCTAGGCATTCATTCAAACTTATTGAGCTCTTGCTATGTGTCAGGTTTTTGTTTGGGGTTTTCTTTACTTTTATTCCATAACAATTTCTTTTTTTGTACTGTATTTTTTTTAAAAACCTCTCAAAGTATGGAATGAGCACATTACAAGTGTCCAATAAATACTGCAGATATCTAAATATCTGGGTTGATCCAATTCACATCATTTCAGAGAAAGTCACACTTCAGTATGTCTAGAACCAATTAGGTTAAAATATATAACCTGTGTTCAAAGAGCAGGCATTATCAATATAGAACATGTAATTTTTAAGTACCACTTACATTAAGAGCAATACATTAGTAACAACACTTAGTAATTGCAAAACACACAAAACAGTTAAGAACAGATGCTTTTGAATAGTCTTAGGAGTCACAAGGTCCATAGCTTAGAATTAAGCCATTTTATTATGACTGACTACCTAACAAAGTGTGTGTGGGGGGGAGAAAATCAGTATAAACTGTTAATTATGCTTGAGTTAACGTGTTACGTTTTCAAAATTGTTTTATAGAATTTATTTTATAGTTTTAGACCTGATTTTGTTCACTGCTTCCTCTTTTCTGACAATATTTCTGACTTAGTCCAGCTATCCAGAACTGCCTACCGTGCTGAGCTCTTGCTCATGTCGCCCGCACATGTGTAGGAACATGCATGCAAGCAAACAAACACAATTTAATACAATTTAACATCTGTATTTCACAGTAGGATACTACAGGGAACTAAATAAGGAGCCGGATGGTAGAGCTCTTCTATAGCTCAAAAGTATTGCTTCTCAAAGGTTTCCACTGCAGTACCTATACAAAGAACACTTCCCACTACCAGGCATTCACGCCCCATTTTGTTGATGACCTGTGTAATCTTAGGCAGTCACACACTCCTAAAATATATGTTTCAATGTAAAAAAATTTTAAATTACTTACCAGTTAAATTACTTAACTCACCGCCCCCTCAATGAGCACAATTGAAGCTCCAAGAAGATGGGTCATGCTTATCTTGTGGCGTCAAGTACCCCGGAATCATATCACTTTGTACCCTAAGGGTATTCATATCCCAGTTTGAGAAACAGGGATTAAACTAGCCACAACACTTAAAAGTGACCAACATGTTTCTACAACCCCATTCCCCAAACTCTTCAGTTTTCTCAATAGCTTTTCAAATCAGTATTATTTTCCTTTTCAGAAGTTCATTAGTATGTATTATGAATCAATACTTCTAAAAGTACTTGTAGAGCACAAGTTATTTCTGGAACGACAGAAAACCAGCACACAGACCTTGTCCTTCCCACCTACAGAAGTACCAAGATGCTTGCTTGGAAAATAGAGATCTGAAGAACAGAGCTTTCACTCCCATTCCCTTCCTCCTCTCTATCTGCTTCAGGCATGGCTTGTAAGAAAATGAGTAATCACTTAAATGATTTATTCATATAAGTTTATCTAATCTCAGCATTTGTAATTCCCACCTCTACACTCCTTTATGCCATTACACAAGTGCAATTAAACAATTTTCACATTTTCTAAGGGATAAGAAAGAAGTGCTTTCTGGTAGCCTGGAAGATACAATTTCCACACCCAGAACCGTACCTTTGTTGTTTATAAGATCCAAAGCCTAGTAGACCCTGATGTTTATGAAACCTATTTCAAGTTCCATGATGTCCACTATATTTTAGAGCAGAAAGTGTAGGCCACAGTAAATTTTAAGTGACCCTTTCAAATGTTAAGAAAATATATTGATAATAACTACAATTAACACTCTGATGCAAACATGGGTTATTAGCAAGGCTAACTCAAGACAATTTTTATCCAGGATACCAGATTCCCCCAAAATAGTATTCCATCTGTTTGTTCCTCTTCAAAATTGCAAATTTCCACAATGGACTTTTGAAGTAATTTACCAAGAGTCACAATATGCATTCCAAAGGTTTCTACAACAAAGCAGCCACCATTTCCTGGGGTTTTTCTATATACAGGCCCCAAATGATACTTAATGCTTTACCCACATTCTCAGCTCTGAGAATAACCTCTGCAATTAATGGTACTCTTACAAATGAGGGCTGTAAGAATAGAAAGGTTAAATAACTTGCCCAGTGTCGTCCAGCTAATATATGGTAGTGCAGAGTTTCAACTGAGGACTCTCTGACCATAAAGCCTGTATGCCCTCAATCACCCAACCTCTTACATCTCCTATACCCAAGAATGGTCCAGCAAATCCTCCAACCTTAGGAGGGTTTTATTATTCCTATTTTTAAGACCAAGAACTTGAAGTATTTACCTCTCCGTGGCTGCAAAATCAGTCTGAAGAGGAAAAACAGAATCCAGCTCTCAAGCCCTTGGTCAGCAGTCTGTCCACTAGCACATCTTGTTCTTTGGCCCCAGGTCTGTGACCATTCTAAAACATCAAGCACAAATCATTTTTATGAACACAAAATACATACAAATGCACATATAGTATGAAAAACAAACTGAGGGCAAGATGAAAACTGATAAAATTGGGAAAGAAATAAAAATATGTCATCTTATTAATTGGGCCATTCCATAAATATCAAGCCAATAATAAAACACTCAGCTATTTTTTTAGACACTTGCTAAGTATATAAAGGACTAAAGATTTGTGATTATCAAAATAGCACCCCACTAAGACCTAGTAACCAAATGACGACTCACACACATATCCAAACTACTAAAAAATTAATTCCTATAGGTGTAGTAATAGTTCTTTAACAGTTTATTTCCTTATCTTTAGCAAGTAGTGGTTTTACTGATTAAGTTAGTTACATCATGAATAAAGGCTATTTTTCATTTTAATAAGGTAACTATGCCCTGGCTGGTTTGGCTCAGGAGTCCACATACTATCAAAGGGAATGAGAATGTATGCCCCTGAAAATTCTATGGGTAACTAAAAATGAGGATCACATGTGGAAAAATCACTCTTCTTGAGGTATATGTCAGCAGTCTTTACGCAATGCCACATCTTTGCTTCCAAATACCAATCACTAAGAAAATGCACAAAGATCTGAATATAATGGACTAGAGAAAGTGTAGGGATGTTTAAAAAACATATGGTATTCCATATCTATATATATAATTATGACCCATGGTCTTCAAAATCATACATTACTTGCCATTATTATTCTTTCTAAACCTGTATGCTCTTTCTCAAATACTAAGTTATGACAATTCTTAGCTGTTTGAAGAGAGACCTAATTTTTGGCAAAAGAGCCTGAAGTCATCTGGAACCAAGATAGGTAAATAAGATAGATGGTCAACTAGGTTTCTGGTTTGAAAAAGTGAAGTGGCGCTCATAAAGTAGATGACTTAGAGTGAATTTAATGTCAGCAGCATCCTGAAGCAAAAAGTCAGTCTCTAGAGGTAAATTTCTGTCAGCAGGCATCATGGTGCAAGGCTCTGCCACAGGACTCCTCCTCAGGGCACTTGTCAGCCACAGGTGGTCTCCACCACACCCAAGGAACTCTACAAGCAACCCAGAAGTCTTAGGTGCGTGTCCCCATTTTTGTGTGTTCTCTAAAGCAAAATCCTAAAGACCTTAGAATTTAAATGCATCTTAAGGATAACTTTTATAGCTCCTAAATTTTGTTGAACAAATTCCTAATATAACTTTTACAACTACTCTTAAATAAGCAGCATTTTCCTATGTGGACAAACAGTTCTGTTGTAATCTTCCTCATACTACTGATTTAAGTAGTAAGTTCTTGTAGGTAACCTTATATCCTCAATTTATTCTCTGTAGATTTAGTTTTCCAATAAAAACAAAGTATGAATCCTGGCATATGGGAAATCTCAAAGGACAGCAACTCTGTTGATAAGATCTATACCATTAAACAGTATAAATGATGTATAAGGCTTAGAAGTTAATGATTCATATGGCACAACTGAATCAAGAAGTAAAATATGGTCTGTGGAGCACAATGCTAACCTGGGAAAATTTACTCCTGGCTCAATTAGACCTGCTGGATTTTAATTTTTAGCCTGTATGGAGCTTATTTAATAAGTAAAACATGCCACCTGCCATCCAGAATTTCAAAAGGAAAATAATACTCAAAATCACGAGAATGGAAAAAATTACACAAATGGACTAATATATTAGACAATTAAGTGTGGTTCTATTCCCAAACCTGACACTCCATCAACGCTACTACATTTAGTTATTTAGTGCAATTTCATTGTGGAGAAAGCGGAGAAGAAACATTTTGTAGGGTTCAAAAAGGGCTGCTGAAAGACTCTCCAATGGAAGCAGATTGCTGAAAAAAACCTACAGATTGAGATTACACACAGTGGACTGACAAGTTTGCTTAGCACCAGGATGTTTTAATTTCCTCATAAGCTTAATGTAACGTTTCTTCAAAAAAAAGTTTATCAAGACTTTCTTTTCTCCAAAGCAGCAGTTGTTGTTACATCAACTGCCAGACCATACTATATTAAGGCACTAGAATATCTGAGGAAAGAGCAAAAAGATAATTCAACAGAAAGCTTTTTTACGATGCAAGAAGGCTTAAGGACAGAATAAATTTAATGTGTGCCCTGTCTTGTCTGACTTCTTTTGCAGCCCATAGGGTAGTGGAATTAACTATACTAGTTGATCTAAACTCGTAGAAAGCATGAAGATTACATACGCAAATGTTTACTTAATTCTGAACTCAGGGCTACAGGAAGTCTGCTACTAAAGAGTAGTTACATTAGGCGTAGATATTTATAAACCAACTGCAGCTAGTGACCCAAGATTCAATTACAACATCAACCCTCAGATTTCAGCGTATGGGCAAATTACCAGTAGAGTTAAGAATAAATTCATTCTGCCCTGCTGGAGTTTTAGATCGGGTTGCTGAATCCCGGAGAACTGCTTTCTCCTAGTACTAAAGCATCAAAGTACTAAATACTGTACTAAGTTAGCGTCAGGACATTTTAAAGCACGAGGGAAACTCAAGAGTTGCCTGCCCAACTTGGCGAGCCTATAATCCAAAACTCAGGAATTTATCATGTCACTTGAGATCAGTGTGAAATTAAGTTTGGATCCTTTTAAGATCTCTTAGAGTACAAAGTCAGGCTATCACTCACTGCAAAGGGAGTCCGACCCTGGCTCCAGAAAAACTACTTGGTGCAGAATTCATGTCTTTTCCGCCCACCGTGGGGGGCCGCATCGATAGGGTTCGGCAAAAAGCCCGGGCGCTAGGTTAGGGGCGCAGCGGGGCCCGGCGGGGGCGGCGAGCGCACGTCCCCCCGCCCGCTCTGGCGGCGTCGAGGCGCGAGCAGCTCAGCCAGCCTTGCAGAGGGAGCTCTCGGCAGCTCTGGGGTCCCTCTGCTCGCAGCAGCGCCGCCTGCGCCACTCGGTGGAGACGGAGTCCAGCGGCGGCGACGCGCGGACTGGGAGCGACAGCCGAGCAGCCTCGAAGGGCGGCCGGGTAGGTTCCGGGGACCGGGCGGGCTGGAGGATGGGCAGCCGAGAGGCGTTGGCCAGGGCCCGACACCCATATTGCACGGAGACCCGGCTGCGCGCGCGGCGGCAGAGTCGGGACCCTTGAGGAAAGCGGGCGCGGAAGCCGAGGCGCGGAGATCGCCAGTGGGCTGAAGCTACCGCCTCGGGAGGGGCGGAGGGCAGAGGGCGGGCCGCGGCCGGGCGATCGGTGGGGCCAAGAGCCGGTCTCGAGGGCAGAGACAAAGGAAGGAAAATGGAGTCGCCAACGCGCGGGCCTGTCGCCGTCGCCGCCGGAGGCCTAGCGCGCCACCAGGAGGGAGGCCTAGCGGGCGGGTGTATGTTGGGGGGGCCGGCCGGGCCGTGGCGGCGACGGGCAATGGCGGCGGCCGCGCCGCAGCAGGGACGGTAGAGGGAGACAAACACC